AAAAAAAAACAAGACAAACCTTCACATCACAATAAAAAAGAGGACAAGCACAAATATTCAGTAAATACTAAAACAACAGCAACAAAGGAAATGATAATATGATTCATAAACATAATGAGCTCAGCACAGAAAATAATATGGAACAAAGAAACCAGGGACACCATGAAAAAACACATAACAAAATGACAGGAATCAATTCATACTTGTCAATAATCACACGGAATGTTAACGCATTAAATGCACCACTCAAGAGGTGGAGAGTTGCAGATTGGATAAGAAAACAAAACCCATCAATATGCTGTGTACAAGAGACACACCTCAGAGACAAAGATAAAAATAGACTAAATATCAAAGGTTGGAAAAAGATATATCAAGCAAATGGCAACTGTAAGAGAGCAGGAGTGGCAATATTCATTTCTGATCAAATCGACTTTAAGACAATAAGAGACCAGGAAAGACATTATATAATGATTAAAGGATCAATTGAACAAGAAGATATAACCATAATAAATATCTATGGACCCAATGAAAGAGTCCTAAAATACATAAATCAGACTTTAAAAGAGTTGAAAAGGCAAATAATGACTCAACAGTCATACTGGGAGATTTTAATACACTACTTTCAATGAAAGATAGAACAACTGGAAAGAAACTCAACAAAGGTGCAGAAGAGCTAAACAATACAATCTTGACCTTATAGACATCTATTGAGCACTTCACCCAACAACAGCACAATATGCATTCTTTTCCAGTGCACATGGAACATTTTCCATGATGACCATATGATGTTAGGCCATAAAGCAAGCCTTCATAAATTTAAAAACATTGAAATACTGCAAAGCATCTTCTCAGATCATAATGCTATCAAATCAAAATTCAAGAATAGGAAGATCAACGGAAAAAGAGTTAACATGTGGAAACTGAACAACACTCTCCTTAAGAAAGACTGGGTAACAGAAGAAATAAAAATTGAAATTCAAAAATTCCTTGAATCAAACGAGACTGAAAACAACATACCAAAATCTTTGGGACGCAGGAAAAGCAGTGATCAGAGGCCAATTTATAGCAAGAAATGCACACATCAAAAAAGAAGAAAGAGCTAAAATCAACACTTTAAACCAACGTCTCCAACAATTAGAAAAAGAACAGCACGAAAAGCCTACAGTCACCAGAAGAAAGGAAATAATAAAGATTTGAACAGAAATCAATGTAACAGAAAATAGAGGGGCAATAGAAAAAAATCAACAAGACAAGAAGTTGGTTTTTTCAAAAAAATTAATAAAATTGACAAACAACTGGCAAATTTAACAAAGAAAAAGAGGAAGAGAATACAAAGAACATGAATAAGAAATGAATGGGTGACATCACAACAGAACCAACTGAAATGAAAAGGATAATATCAGGATACTATGAAGAATTGTATTCCAACATATTTGAAAATCTGGAAGAAATGGACAGATTTCTAGAAACACACCACTTACCTAAACTAACACAGACTGATGTAGAAAAGCTGAACAGATCCATAACAAAAGAAGAAATTGAATAGGTCATAAAAAATTTCCAGGAAAAAAAAGTCCTTGCTCAGACGGATTCACTGGTGAATTCTACCATACATTCAGAGAAGAATTGACACCAATCCCACTCAAACTATTCCAAAACATAGAAAAGGATGGAATCCTCCCTAACTCATTTTATAAAGCAAGCATAACTTTGATACCCAAACCAGGCAGAGACATCACTAAAAAGGACAACTACAGACCAATATCCCTCATGAATATAGATGCAAAAATCTCAACAAAATCCCAGCCAATAGACTCCAACAACATATGAAGAAAATCATTCATTATGGGTCATATCAGGTATGCAAAGATGGTTCAACATAAGAAAAACAACATCATCCACCACATAAATAAAACAAAGGAGAAGAACCAAAGCAATTGATGCAGAAAAGGCATTTGATAAAATCCAACACCCATTCCTGATCAAAACTCTCAGCAAAATAGGAATAGAAGGGGCATTTCTGAACATAATAAAGGGCACCTTTGCAAAAACCAACAGCCAACACTATTTTCAATGGAGAGAGACTGAAACCATCCCTCTTGTGAACAAGAACCAGACAAGGATGCCCT